GTCAGGCGAAAAGTCAAGGCAATCGTCCAGATTCGCCCCCCACCCCTGCATGCTTGGCCACCACCCTGCCGATCCCGGCGCCACCCACTGCCCCAGCACCGCTAGATAGGCCATTCCCCGCCAGAAAAGAGAGAAGGTTTTGCCGCGGCACCTCTCCACCACCATCTGGGCGAGTTTTCCGGCGCTCCAGCCGCGCGGGGCTGTATACCGGCGGCTGTGCGCCCACTACGCCTACCAGGTGTTCGGCGATTTGTCTGCCCAACGATGGGCTCAGACGACAAGGAGGCGCTTGCCGCGCTGCTGGAGGAGGAAGCCGATGCCGACGTCCAGGAAGAGGAACATCTCATGGTCCTCGCCACCCTCGCCGGCCTGCTCGCGAGCAATGAAAAGCCACGGCGAGGTGGCTCAGTGCCAGGACGGCTGAAAGCAAAGAACCGACATCGTATGGAAGACTATTGCATGCTCTACTCCAACTACTTCGCCGACGCTCCACTGCATGGCGACAAAGTATTTCAGCGTCGTTATCAGATGAGCCGAAAGCTTTTCCTCAGGATTATGAATTCCATCCGGGAGTTCGACAGCTACTTCAAGTGCAAGAAGGATTGCACCGACAAACTTGAATTCATCTCGATCCAGAAGTGCACGACAGCTATGCGGATGCTTGCATACGGAGCTCCCTGTGATTCACTCGACGACTATGGGCGCATGGCTGAGTCCACGACCATTGAGTGTTTCTATAAGTTGTGCAGGGCAGTGGTGGCAGTGTTTGGACCGCAATACTTACGATCACCCAATGCTGAAGACACTGCTCGGACCCTAGCACAGAATGCAGCAATAGGGTTTCCTGGGATGCTTGGAGGTATCGACTGCGTGCATTAAAAATAAAAGAACTGTCCATTTGCTTCGCAAGGGATGTACAAAGGCGTCAAAGGCGATTGCAGTGTGGTACTTGAGGCAGTGGCCACACATGACCTCTAGATTTGGCACTCCTTTTTTGGTATGCAGGGAACTGATAATGACATCAACGTGCTGCAGTGCTCCTCTGTCTTTGCCAAGCTTGTTGAAGGTCATGCTCCGCCGGTGAACTTCGAGGTTAACGAGCGGCACTACAACAAGCGGTACTACCTAGATGATGGCATCTATCCGAAATGGTCTACATTTGTGAAGGCTATCTCAAAAGCTGTGCCAGGAGGCAAGAATCCCACTTTGCCAAGGTTCAGGAGGCTTGCGGGAAGGATGCCGAGCGGGCATTTGGTGTGCTCCAATCTCGATTTGCTGTTGTTCGGTACGCTGCTCAATGTGGGAGATCATGACTTGCTGTGTCATCTTGCACAACATGATCATTGAGAGCGAGCAGGAAGAGCCGGTGTTTGACACTGAACCATATTACAGGCAGGGTCCGCTTGCGCAAGTTGATCACCAGCTACCGACAACCTGGATTGCCTTCCTTAATATACGTCAGGAGATCCGAGACCCACACGTGCATCAACAACTGCAGTAGGATCTAGTGGAGCACCTATGGAGGCTCAAGGGCAACGCCTAACTCAACATGCGATGAAATATGAGTTTTTATTGTTGAACTATATAATTTGTATTGAACTATTTGTTGTTGAATTATTTGTTGAACTATTTGATTTCTATGGATTTTCTGTGATGAACTATGTGATAAAAATGTTACTTTTATTGTATTTGCGCCGAACCACGGTGAATATGGGCCGATTTGCGCCGATATCGGCCCGATTTGTCGCTGCAAATGGGCGAAAAAGCGGGCACATTTACGCAAAAAATGGGCCAATATCGGCGCCTGGGGGCGACCACCGGGAACCCAATCGTCCCCAGAGCCGATTGCTCGCCCCCAAGCGGCGATTTTTATGCCTCCTGGGGGCCCAACGGCTGGAGATGCTCTAAGCCTGTTTAACATATACATCCCTTTTTCACTGAACTGGTGCAAGTGTATGCAGAGATTGACTATGGCTTCAGTTCATCTGTCAAATATTACTACACCAAAATCTCTTTATCTTGGGAGTCAAAATTGCGAGCACATGGATAGCATAGGAAAATGAGATTCTGCCTCCTGGCACATGGCAGCAGCAAGTAGCAGCTAGCAGACAAGCACTTTTTTTTCTCAGATAAGAACACTCAATACTGAACTCTCAGGTATTGCAGCTCTAGGATTGCTGTGAGATTAGTCATAAAATAACTTGATATTAACTCAGTCTGCACATCCCTGGCCATTGAAATCTCTGTCTGTCACATTTAGGAGATGCAGGCCGGCCCGCTGGATTTGATTGCATCTCTTCTCCAACACTTCATCCACCAACTTGATCTTGTCTCGATTCACTCATCATCTCAGTCCTGAGTCAAACTTGCTTATCAACCATCTCAAGGTTTCAGCTCAAACTTTGGTCATCTGAATCCTGAAACAGCTGCGTGATCTGCAGCTGCAGAGATCAACAGCCAGATGATCAGAAACCAAGTGCAACACAAAAGGGAAAGAAAACAAATCTCGCATGACGCCGCTGATGATAAGATGTGACAAATTCTACAATCCCTGAACCATTCTTCATTTTTTGTGTTTTTTTCTAAGGAAACAATCCTTGACTATATCTTCTTTCCTTCCAAGAGACAACACATTCTCTCCTCTCTGCCCTGGAGCATTAAATACAGCACTAATCCAAAAAAGAACAGCACTGATCCCAAACATGTATAGACCAAATTCCCAGGTAGTAGTAATGTCGGCCTTGCGTTGTTCTAATGGACTATGTTCACTGCTGATTAACAGTCAAATGTTTATGAGCCTTACCTGCACTAATTCATCTCGTGGGTTATATTCTCCCGTTAACCAATTGCATGCTCATGCTGCTACAAAGTTACTGCAGAGGCCCGATCAAAACAAGAGACCAACTCCTTCCATTTAATCCCACCATAAATCCCCTTGTTACAACTCCCCTTAACGCAATAAAACACCATAAATCCCTTTGTTACAGCTCCCGTTAGCGCAATAAAGCAAAGGGAGAACACCGCAATTTACCCCTCTCGTCCCCAAGTTCATTTTCTAGAACTCTAAATCTTTTCATATCGGGAAAAGAGATGGAAGATGAGAGGAAGAGAGCCAAGCTGCGAAAATCCCTACAGCTCTGCATCACTAGGAAGCTCAAGAAGATCCCTCCGGTTCACATCCCCAGCTCGACAATTCCGGCAACCATCGCCACCAGGAGGCGGCTCCTCTCCACCTGCGGGTTCCCGCGGACACAGTCGCTGGACATCGACCAGGCCGCCACCGCTACCAACAACAACAACAACAACGGCGGAGGCCACGCCGCGACGCTCTCCGACGTCAACCGCTTCCTCTTCGACAACTTCCGGTCTCTCTACATACATGACCGGGACGACAACGTGCGCCTCCCGTTATCGCCGGGGACGTCATCCACGTCTGCCGTCGACGAGACGCAGGCAACCGCAGGAACATCATCCTTGTAGGATTCAGTCACGGAAGACACCGGAAAAGCCGGGTCAGGTGATGACACCGGCGACGATGCGGCCATAGTCCTATTCTCCATGGACCCTTACACCGACTTCCGGAGGTCCATGCAGAACATGATAAAGATGCACCACGGCCAGGAATCTCGGCCGCTGGACTGGGACTTCTTGGAGGAGCTACTCTTTTACTACCTCCAGCTCAATGATCAAAGTGTGCACAGGCACATTCTCAAGGCCTTCGCCGACCTCACTGCTGGAACCCACAAGGATATACCAGCCCGTGGAAAACCGAACTGGGCTGATAAGAGTGTTAGGAGTAGGAAATATTAGGACACAGATTCAAAGACTTATGTTATAGGATACATGTTGCTACTGCACCATGTCATCTATTGTATAACCTGATTCACATATAGAAATGTAACGGAATGTAGAATACATCTTCCTGTATTGAATCCAAAGAATGCTGTAGACAGATATATGGGTTAAAGATTCCGAACAGAGTTTCTGACATGTCTAAACCAGAGATAGTCCATTACACACCTCGGCTGCCTCCTCTTCCATTCACCTTCGAGTCATCAAAGCTGTCAACTAATTCAGAGGCGCTCGGCTGGCCGGGTCGCCCTCTGTCTTTGGCGACTAACAAACAAACAGAGGGCTAAAACCTGTAGTTCTGAACAGTGATTGATGCTCCAGATTTGTGTCTTAATTTGTTTCTTTATCTAGTGAGCTCAAACAGGATCTTCATTAGTTGTGTCCCAGTTGGAAAATTTTCGTTTTTAGTCGCCTTGTCATTTGAAATGAAGGAATTAAAGAAACAAGACTAAATTTGTAAAACACATTTTGGTATTGTTATGAACATTGCAGAATATCAGGATCACAGCAAAAAACATCAATGCTTAAGCAGGAGAGATAATTGGTGTTTTGGAGGATACAGGCAAAGGAAATCTGGTTTTCGCGGTTTGTATGTATTTGGGGCATCAGTGGTACTCAAGGCAGTGACAAAACATCTGAATCAAAATCAAAGTTTGACAGGGATATTCATGTGGATTGCTCGGAGAGGAAAAGCATGAGGGTCCTGCAGTCGTGAACGAGCTAGAGCTTCCTCTGTCGGTGATGGCCATCTTCAATTGGTGCGATGACCGACGAGGAAGATGATTTGTGGGATAGACGAAGTCTCTTCAGCGGCGATAGCAGATATCAGTACAGAAGTCTTAAGAAAGCTCGTTAACGGTAGATTTGTAGTGATATTTCACAATAGGAGTTACAAACACATTGATCTGTACAAGTGCGGTGTCCCAGTAATACCAATTTTGAATAAGAAGGTGTTGTGGATCAGGCATGGGAGGTTTCAACCCGGTTTTTGTTCCAAATTCAAACAAATAAGGGAACAAAGAGCTGGATACTGACTTTGTTGTCAATTATATTCAACTGGGAGAGCCATGCTTCAAAGTTCAAACTACATGGTATGCAATGGCCTTTTCAAAAAAAAAAAAACATGGTATGCAATGGGATTATACAAGGGCAAGGCGATACATCAGCATGGGGAGTTGCCGATGCTCTAAAAAGAAACATGCATTTGGATTGGCTTCTGGAGTCAACTAATGATGGCATTCGTCTTCACTCTTCTTACGATGGGATACTTAGCAACGAGCATAAGTTTACAAATAAAACACACACACACACACGCACACACACACATACACACACACACACACAAATGCTTGTTTTGCCATCTCTACTACTACAGATACAGGCCTTGGTGTTCACCTCTATTGTTAATGCTACGATTACCAGTGTCCCAATTTTGTTGGGTTTGCCAAGAAAAAGGCAAATTTTGGGGAGCACCTTATCTTGTACTCCCTCCGTCCCAAAATTCTTGTCTTACATTTGTCTAAATACGAATGTATCAAGTCACGTTTTAGTATTAGATACATCTGTATCTAGGCAAATCTAAGACAAGAATTTTGGGACGGAGGGAGTACTTGCTGAAGCTGGTAGTTTCTTGCAAATAGATACCTCACAACAAAAAGGAACTTCCAGGAAGATAATTAGAGCCATCCAGAGCTCTTGACCATTGCTTGTTCTTGTCAAGATTTAGAACCTGCTCTCTTGGGAACCTGCCGCTGCATCAAACTAGTGCGCCTTGTCATCCAGATCCAGCAACAGCAGCATACACAGCTGAGGGCAGGTTCTTGGTTGATGCAAATATCAATCTAGTGGGCAGGCACTTCCCCTCGACAAGCGGCAGCATAGTATTTGGCAAGGTGCAGCACAGCTTCCTTGTGAGGACATATGTACTTTTCCACGAAAACCTTCTCAGTCATCTTGAAAATTACATAGTAGCTCCCGCCGTGATCTAGCAATCCATTTTCTGTAAGAAACTTCACAGCGTAGTGCCGCGGTCGGAGCCTGCCTTCCAGGCTGTAAGTGATCAATGCCGGAAGACGGGCAATGTAAGCCGGTTCCAAGCCAACCTCGGAGATGAGAAAATTGGAAGTGCGCTGCAGATGTTCCTTTGACCTCCTTAGCAAGAGCGGAGCCTTAGACAGAGCAATGCTCACCTCGGCATCTGACCACGTGAATGCATTCTTATCTTCATGAACTCCACTTTGGCAGCAATCTTCTCTTTGCTGCGAAAGGCGACAGCTTGAAGCGCGTACCTGAACATCCGAGAGCCACGGGGCACACCTAATCTTTCGGCACATGCCACCATCATCCGGATGTTCTCGGGGTTGGTGATGAGCACCCTCGGCACAGGGATGCACAGCTTGGCAATATCACAAACACCTAGCCCGCACTCCTGCAGGAACGCGATGTTGGGTTCGACCACCCTCTCGAGGTCGGAGTTGAGAAGGTGGGAGCCCCTCTTGAGCACTCGGAATAGGTTCTCGGAGGACCCGAAGAGAGGCAGGAAGTACTGCAGCTTGGAGACTATGGATCTACAGCGGAAGTCGCTGCCGGCGACCGAGAGGAGGCGGCTGATCTCAGAACGCGACAGGCCGAGACCAGTGAGCCCGTCGACGACGGGGGCCAAGGTTTTGTCCACTTTGGAGCAGAGTAGCCGCGGGTCTTTGGCGACGGCGGCGGCGACGGCGGAGCCGGAGAGGCCGAGGCCGGCGAGTAAGGCGAGGACGGCGTCGGGCTTGGAGGGGGACTTGAGGTGGGAGAGCTTGGTGGAGGCCTTGAGGGCTTGGGGTCGGGTGAGGCCGTAGGTGTCGACCAGGTACTCCTCGACGGCAAAGCTGCTCGGGTTTGGGGAAATGTTGGGCGCGGTGGCAGAGAGGAGGCGGCAGAGAGGGGAGCAGGGATAGGGCGATCACGAGGAGAGGGCGAGATGGGTGAGGATGGAGCTGTTGAACTGTCACATTGTATGCACCATTGTAACACGTTCTTTCTGTTGTAACCATACCGCCTAGAGTGTAGGGCGTCCTAGTCAATCGCCCTCATCTCATCGTGGCCCTGCATGTAGGGATCACGCCTGTATATGTATCTGTAACTGAACCAGGGAATAGATGCGGTGATTCATTATTCTTGTTGGTATCAGAGCCTCTCATGGCGACCGACTCCTCCCACTCTCCCTCGGCCTCGCCTCCCCTCGCTCACGACGACGATGGCCTGGCCAGCGCGAACCTCTCCGGCCTCTCCCCTGGCGAGCGTCCCCGCGCATCGCTCTCCCCTGAGCTCCCTCCATCCAGTGACCTTCCCTTATCTTCCCACCCACCCAACCCTGTGCCGACTGAAGGAAATATGCCCTAGAGGCAATAATGAAGTTATTATTTATTTCCTTATTTCATGATAAATGTTTATTATTCATGCTAGAATTGTATTAACCGGAAACATGATACATGTGTGAATACATAGACAAACATAACGTCACTAGTATGCCTCTACTTGAGTAGCTCATTAATCAAAGATGGTTATGTTTCCTAGCCATAGACATGTGTTTTCATTTGATTAACGGGATCACATCATTAGGAGAATGATGTGATTGACATGACCCATTCCGTTAGCCTAGCACTTGATCGTTTAGTACATTGCTATTGCTTTCTTCATGACTTATACATGTTCCTGTAACTATGAGAATTATGCAACTCCCGTTTACCGGAGGAGCACTTTGGGTACTACCAAACGTCACAACGTAACTGGGTGATCATAAAGGAGTACTACAGGTGTCTCCGAAGGTACATGTTGAGTTGGCGTATTTCGAGATTAGGTTTTGTCACTCCAATAGTCGGAGAGGTATCTCTGGGCCCTCTCGGTAATGCACATCACTATAAGCCTTGCAAGCAATGTGATCAATGAGTTGATTACGAGATGATGCATTACGTAACGAGTAAAGAGACTTGCCGGTAACGAGATTGAACTAGGTATTGGATACCGACGATCGAATCTCGGACAAGTAACATACCGATGACAAAGGGAACAACGTATGTTGTTATGCGGTTTGACCGATAAAGATCTTCGTAGAATATGTAGGAACCAATATGGGCATCCAGGTCCCGCTATTGGTTATTGACCGAGAATAGTTCTAGGTCATGTCTACATAGTTCTCGAACCCGTAGGTCCGCACGCTTAACGTTACGATGACAGTTTGATTATGACTTTATAAGTTTTGATGTACCGAAGTTTGTTCAGAGTTCCAGATGTGATCACGGACATGACGAGGAGTCTCGAAATGGTCGAGACATAAAGATCGATATATTGGAAGCCTATATTTGGACATCGGAATCGTTCCGGGTGAAATCGGCATTTTACCGGAGTACCGGGAGGTTACCGGAACCCCCCGGGGGGTTATTGGGCCTACATGGGCCTCAAGGGAGAAGAGGGAAGGAGGCAGGACGGGGCCGCGCGACCCTCCCCTTCCTAGTCCGAATAGGACAAGAGAAGGGGGGCGGTGCCCCCCCTTTCCTTCCCCTCTTCCTCCTCCTTACCCCCTTCTCCTACTCCAACTTGGAAAGAAGGGAGTCCTACTCCCGGTGGGAGTAGGACTCCCCCCTTGGTGCGCCCTCCTTGGCCGGCCGCCTCCTCCCCCTGGCTCCTTTATATACAGGGGTGGGGGGGGGGGCACCCCAAAGACACACAAGTTGATCTATGGATCGTTCCTTAGCCGTGTGCAACGCCCCCCTCCACCATATTCCACCTCGGTCATATCGTCGCGGAGTTTAGGCGAAGCCCTGCGCCGGTAGAACATCATCATCGTCACCACGCCGTCGTGCTGACGGAACTCATCTCTGGAGCTTTGCTGGATCGGAGCCCGGAGATCATCATCGAGCTGAACGTGTGCTGAACTCGGAGGTGCCGTACGTTCGGTGCTTGGATCGGTCGGATCG